CTCGGCGCCCCGGCTGCAGCGCCCGCCGCTGACAGCAGCGCGTTCTGGAAGGCGAGTCGGTCGTCCCTGGCAAAAATGGAGCCGTCGCTGTTGCGTGCGTCTGGGGTGCCGTGCTGCCAGCTCCTCGCTGCGGCGCGCGGTGCTGGAGGATGTGGTGTTTGTCTGGTTTTCAGACCGCTCAAAGAGCGCTTTTGGAGCGCGCTCTTCACTTCAGCGACGAAACATGCTCTGGTTGAGTAAAACTTTGGCACCTGTTTAAACGTTTTGCTCGATAGATCCTGACAGGAGTATCTTGCCGATTTAGGATTTGAACGAGGACAGAATTTGGCCTTTGGAAGAGATAAGTTATCAAATAATTTCAGTCTTCCTCTTGTGCCTTATTACTTCGTTCTGATTTAGCTGTCCTGAAGTGATGTAGTCAATCTACGTTTAATAAAAGAGCCCCCTGCAATTCCCCCTCAAAATCGCAAACCACAATACCCAAAAGCACCTTTGCGTGGATCTCTCTTGAGGAGCTTTGGGTGATGGGGATTGGTTTTCAGAGGAGACTTTTTGCTTCTAAGATGGCTCCTAAGAAAGCTGTGAGCAGACCTAAAGGCTGTGCTATCAGATGTATTCAAATCTGGCCCGTGTGCGCTGCTACCTGCTGTTCCCGTAGTTTCAGCTCTGTTACGCTCACTGGAAAGCACCGTCTGGCAGGGCCTGGAGAAGGACGCTTGCCATCATCAAAACAGAAAATAGCAACAAGCTGTCTAAGTACTTTTAGATAGACAAAGGCAACAAACTGGAGAGGGGATTTTTGCTGCGTGCTTCTTGTTAGCAATTTTAAGGTGTTTCTGTAACAACAGCGAGGCAGCTTTATCCAGGTGGAAATGGAGCTTTTCTCGGACGGCCCCCTCCCTCAGTGCTGTACGTTCAGATTGATCATTTGGCTCCTATGCTGGAAATATCGAAAACCGGTAGCTGATGTTGATGTCTGCATAAGCCGCTGGCAACACGTTGTTGAAGAGGGCACAGCATCGTTTGCGTACGCGTTGATGGAGTTGCTCGCCCGGGCCCCGTGCTGGGGGACTCTGATACAGTAGTGCCGGGACTTGAGCAAGCCTTTTGGGGAGCGCGGGGGGCGCTAGGCTTTGTGGTGAAGCTCAGTCAGGGAATATGGTTAGGAGGAATTTCTGCAAGTTGAGCAAAACCACCCGGAGAAAATTATTAGAAATCCCGCAGGGAAGCCACAAGCAACTTAACGAAACAAGCTTTTGCCCGGTTTGCTAATACCCAGGGCTGCGGAGAGTGCCCATGAAACCAATGCATCCATTTAGCAAAACAACTTGTCCTCCTAGTTGGGTCCTGCATGTGGCTCATTAGGGTAATTACTGATGAATTAAGGCAGCTTGGCTCAGCGCTCTGGCTGCGGGTGTGCGGGCTCCCCTGCTGGCAGGCAGCAGGTGTAAATGAACAAGATCTGTCAAAAAGGCTGATGACCCTCTTAATTCACAGCAGCAAACTGGGGACAGAGGTAGTGCAGCAAGTTTAATAATTGATATTTACTTGGAAAGGTTAATGGCAGCAGTGATGCTTCTAATTTGCTTGCCTGTGCAAGACCTTGTCAGGTCAAATTGTCTCAATTTGTTACCGTGTGTGTAGGTGTAGTTTCCCTTTAATGAAATTTGGAGAGAAGAAACAGGTGGTGTTGGGAGCATACTGTAACTCAAGAAAAAGAGCAAAAGGTTGGAATCTGCTAACAGGTTGGGTACGTCTGCTAACTTTAAACAGCTGCCAGTTCAGTCCCGTGGAATAATTCTGGTGAGCGTTTGAGCTTGGGAAGGTTAAAGGATTTGGAATGGTATCATTTATTTTTCCTTAATTTGCTTCTGTCTGAGAGTTGTTTAGGTGGGAAGTGTAACAGTTTTGACAAGCTTTGGTCCGGTAGAAGGTGAAAGCAATAAAATTAGAGATCAGAAAGGCAGAGAGTTCAACAGGTAGGTGTGTACCGTACTTGGGGAAATTGTAATTCTGTCCTGCAATAATTAAATAGTTCCATTTTCAGTGAAAACCAAAGCTAGTGTTAACAGAAGCTATGATATCTGGACACTTTAAAATTAGCAGGCTGGACTAGCTTGCATCCAAGCATTTCCAAAGAAGTGGCTAATGACTCTGCACCGGCAAAGTCAATTTTTGAGCGAGTACAGGGAGATCCTGACGACTGAAGAAAGCTGGTGCGCCAGTATTTTAGAAAGTCTGTAATTGGATAATGCCATTTACCCTTTTGGTTTGGCATGAATCCTAGACAAGAGGTGAAAAACAATTGGTTAATAAAGACCTAAAGGAGGGTAAAATAAGCGAATGCCAGTCATAGTAGCTGTTTTCAAAATGGCTTATTGATATGTGGGATTAAAAACTTGGTAGTGGTCATGGTATTGGTGTAATACAGTTAGATTTCTGTACTTGACATTGTTGGCCTTTTATTAAGGAAACAGAGCAGCGCAGATTCAACATGATGCATTGCAAGTGGATTAGAACTTGCTTTAATAACAGGTGCTGCTGTCGCAAATGCAGACTCGCCACTGGTTGGGAACGTTTCTAGCGGATCCCGGCAGGGATTACCTCTTGTCATTATGTTATTGTAACCTTTTGATGTGGGAACAAAGATGGAAAATCACTCTTGATAAAAGTTTGCAGGTGGCCAGTACGTTGGACGGGTGGTTTACAGTGAGTGAGACAGGCCACCGATGCTGGGACCAGTCCTTGTGTGAAAAGATGGCCACGAGCAAACGTGTAATTCTAACGCTTCAGTGTGGCTGAGTCTAAAAGTCTTTTCCCTGGGAAAAAAATTTCACTGCTGAGGTGTAAGGTGGTAGAAAGATATGAAGAGTAAGGACTTGAAGGATACATGTATTATCGCTCATATTCAAGCCTGTACAAGGCTGTATGTGCCGGACTAGATTAGGTTCCTCAAAAGCCGTTCCTCGTGGCGCTGCGCGGCAGAGCTGTCTTGAACGTGCTGGGGTTGTGTCCGAGCACCGTGAGCGAGTCCTTCCGGCTGCTGAGCTGGAGACTGCCTTGAAATAGGACAGAAGGAAACAAGGGGATTTTATTGCCATTAAAAGTACCAATTTGTACAAGCCGACATTTTAAATAGTGTAATTTAAATGGAACCAAACTGATATGAATAGAACCTATTAATAAATTAAACACTTCTTTCCACCCAATATTTCACAAGGGAATTAACAGAATAATTTGTTAGTAAATGAGCCCAGGAATGAAGCTGTGAACGACATGTCTGTCCTGTTCCCCTCCTCCCCCTGTAACGCTCTTTACAGATGTAAGCTGAAAGTTGCTGCGATTTCCAGTGTTGTCACCTTGGACTTTGTGTCCTATGTACTGATACAACCAGCCTTCAAGCAGAGGAATACGGGTGATTTAATGGTTAGGGAGCCAGCCTTGGCTGTAAGAGTCAGTCGTCATGCTCTGCCTCAAATTTTGGGCGTAACTTTGTAAGTGAGCTTTGAGGCCCGCGTCCCCCGTAGTGTGTCGGCACCTGGCTCTTGTGCAGGTACGCAGCTGGCGGCAGCGGCTGGGCTCGGCGCCGAGACGCGTCTCTGAACGCCGGCTTTGGATAAACTCGAGCAGGAGCAGTGAGTGCCGAGTGCCTGCGTTAGGTTTTCAGGGATGCCTCAGGCTTTCTGAGCCCGGAGCGGTGCCCCGACCCGCCTGGCGCAGCACCCGCAGCCTGCCCGGAGTTTCGGGGCTTCAGCCGCGGGAGCCGCAGCCCTGCAGCACGGGCGTTCGCGCCGAGGGTTATCGGCACCGAAGGGGGCTTCCCTCATCGCGGTCGGCTGCGGGCCTCTGGCGCAGCCTTTCTTGCCGCCCAGAGTGCTGAAAGCACCCGTTCGGTTGTGTGTGAAGGGCAGGGAGTACGGAGGCGTGTGGTCAAGCACGTCGTCAGTGCGCTCGCAAGCATCCCGTCCACAGCGCCGTGCGCGCAGGAGTAAAACAGTCAATGAACTGCCGTCAGCGACCTCGGGAACAGGTGGCAGAGCAGTGCTTGAAAACCTACTTTTCCCCCTCCTTCTTCTCCCTCTAGATGAAGGTCCCCACAAGCAGAAGTGGCAGAAATAGCGAGGAGGACAGCATCAGGGAGGCCACAAGCTCGCAGCGGAGCAGCTCGAGGGACCGGCTCAGTGATGTAAGTACCACTCAGGAGAAAGCATCGCCTCGTTGCAGCAATTCCCGCTGCTGACATGGCTTTTCATAAATCTTGCTGAACAAATGTTGGCATCCAGAGGTCACTGTGTAATAACTTTTTTTTATGTCATGATTGAGTGTTATGGCATAAGTGGTTGAGCTGCCTTGCAAACACTATAATCATGGTGCAAATAATATGATAAGCAAAAGATCAGAGATGGGAAAACAAAATGGAATTGTTATTCCTCAGAGAGAAATGGCTTGCTGTTTTGGGTTTTTTTTTTGAGGGAAGTTGTGTTAAAAAGCTTTTTACAGTATTTTTGGTTTTAGCTACTGCACATAATTATGTGCTTTGGGTGCAAAGTCAGTTCATCTAATTTTATGCTTCCTGCTTCCAAGATAGGAAAGGTTTTTGGGGGGAGAGCTGTCTTTCTCTCAGGAAATGCAATAGTATGTTGAGTGAAATGTTATAATAAAACAAAAGCAAACGGTGCCTTAGTGTGTAAACACACAAATGGGCTTTTGAGTCACCAAGAAATCAATGGCAGTGCTGGGATAATTTTATATGAAGGCTTTTTGTGTTAGCAATTAGCATTTCGCCTTCATTAAAACATGATTTTTTACTAATTAGGACCTTTCCCGTTAGGAGAGATTTAAATGAAGAACAATAATCAAACGCTGGCACGAGCATGTCTGAAATATTAAATTTGCCATTTCAATGGCAAGCCACTGAAATCCCAGAGCGAGTGGTTTTCATGTTGAGTTCTATTAATGTAAAATATGCTTCATAACTAAAACCTGTCACAGAAAACAGCTCACACCAGCTAAATTCAATTGGACAGTTAATTTAGCTTTAAAATTGAAAACACTACCTCCGCTTCAGGATGCAAAAGGAAGAGGGGGGAAAGCCTTTGATAAGTGTAATGTATTTGCTATTAAGGCTTTCAGAGCCCATTCTACAGGAGGAGAAGGGAGAAAAAGGGGGAAAAATAGCTCCCACAAATGTGTTTAAAAGCTGAAAGTATTTATTAAAAATGTCAGCAGAAAAGTGCTTTTGGCAGATTAAAGCGGGATTCAGCTTGACAGCTCTGACAGGGAAATGTGACGGGGGAAAATTCTCTCTACATGTTTTGAGTGCGAATGGGGCGCTGTAAACAGCCTACACAGTGGGAGGAAGAGAAAAATAACATGTCCTGTGATCTGCTTCCAGGATTACGGATCTGCACTCAGCTGCAGGGGTGGGTGGGGGGTCCCTTTTGGACTAATCACCTTTCTGTGTGGGGTATCTGTGACTGTGCTGTTAGACAACAGTGGTCTCAGTTGCTTATGCGTGTATTTGTGAGATTCTCTCCTTTCCCTCCAGTTGGCCACTCGTGACAGATATGTGATCAGGGCAACCGGTGGCATTGCTGCACCGTGACCTGGGGGCCAGGAGAGGAATCACACATTTAGACTTAGCGATTAGCTTAGGTCAAAGCACTAAGTGATCTTGGAGACTTTTCTCATTAAGCTAATGCACTTACAGTTTTTTCCCATCCTTTCCCTTTGCCCGTAAGTCACAGGCTGAGCCCATAGGAATTGAGCTGGAGTGCCCAGTTCCCTTAAAATCTTCAAAGCAAGTCATTCGGCCCCTGCGTTCAGTGAGAAGTAGGCACTCTTCTCTTCTTGGTCAACGGGGACATCGAGGCAATGCCTGAAGGCCAGGGCACACTTTGGAGCTCTACTGAAGTTGCTCTAATGACCTGACGACCTGTTACAAATGAGAATTTTTCAAATTAGTGATTAAACAGTTTGAAAAGTAAGGCTCATGAATCATGGAATGCGCTTTGTTCATTATTTGACGAGTGCAATTTAGCTTTAATTACGTATAATGCTTCTTCACATACTAGTAAACGTTCTGTAGTCTATTTAGGACTGTCAGAAAGTCTTAGGAGGTCCCTCTGGTGCAATCAGCCAGTTTTCCCAATTTGTGTGCAAAGAAATAAAGCTCCAGACTTTTTGTAGAGAGGGAGCAGAGGAGGGGGAGTAAACGGCAGCATGCTACTGTGTGTGTTGATTCGTGCAGGATTTTACTGCCCAGCCTGTGATTAGGTCCTTGTGTTGCTCTGTGGCCGTGTTTCCTCGCAGGCTGTTTTAATAGATGGTGTGCGACTGAACTGACTCGACCCCTTATGTGTGGCGCTCTGAGGATTTAAAAACCCATCAGGCAGTAAGGCTGTAAAGGGAAGGCATAGACCGTTTTTCCTTGTGGCTAGCGATTGCAAGTTGAGGTCCCACCACACAAGCATCCTAGGGTGGCTGCTTTTGCTTGCGGACGGCTGTGCCGCTGCTGGTGGTGCCTGGGCTCCTTCGTGCTCTCCCCAGAGCATGTCTCCTGCTGCTGCATGGTGCATTTGGCCTTCACAACTGTTTTTTGTGCCGCCTTTACCTCCCATCCCTGTCCCCCTTAACCTGGGGTAACAGTGGAGTAAATGAGGCAGGTGGAGGCGGATTTGGCTGCTCTGTGGCACACAGCAGGTGTGCGGGGAAATATGCGCGCAAAAGCGTCGACTATAACGTTTAGCATTGCTGCCTTAGGAGCCTCCCTCCGGCTTCGTTGTAGGCCTCCTTCGAGAAGGCACTATTATGAACAGCTTAGTTCTTCTGGGTGATTTGTTTCTCGGGGTGGCTTATTCAATGGGATGCCAGTAAGTTGTTCTTTATTTACATTAATGCATGTCATTAGTCTCTAATGGACCATGAAGGCAAGAGGTGGCCTGGTCTGTCATGAAATAATTGCACTCTAAAGAAAACTGAAGCAAATGATTGATTGTCTCTTGCACACACATGCACACAAGTATGCACGTAGCCATCAGCCCATCCGCAACAAAATACAGTGCGTTTTGCTTTGGTCTTTGACACAATGGAAATTCTGTGGGGAAGGAGTGTCACGGCGAAACAACAGTCGTCCGTGTTGTCTAGTATGTCTCTCCTGACAACGTTACACTGGGGGCCATATATTATGGGTCGTTGGGAAAAAAACGCATATTGCGATCTAGTGAAATCATCTCTGGCTGCAGAGATTTGATTGGTTGAGGCTGGTCTCTTCCTTCAGCAGATGGACCTTATGAGCAGAAAATCAAAGAAGTTTTAACCCTGGTTTGCTCAGGGGAGTGTGATGAAGGCAAAAGGTGGGAATTTGCCACTTGTTAGTGTTCAGCATTGATATAAAATTCCCTTAAAATCCATTATAAAGCTAAAGTCCTTATTACACGCGTACTCTCAGGGTCGTCTACAACCAACACAGAGTCAACAGCCTTTTTCCAAAACAGGATTTTCCTCTGCTGTCTTTCATAGTGATGAAGTAATTGGAAGTTACCAGAGAATTAAGAGGCAGATAAGCCCTATTGCTATTTTGTTGTGTTGACCCAAGTAAAAGTGGGAGATGTGGGCATTTTGTTTTGTTTTTTCCCGTGTTCCATAATTGTCCTAATCTTTTCTGATGTCCTGAACAGTCCAAAAAATCCACACAAAGCCTTGTATAATGGCTTTAAAAAAAGGGTTTTATCTTTTTCTTGACCCATCAGCTTAAGAACTGCCTGTTTTTTAATGGATTTTCTCCCTCGCTAAATTGAATGGATCGTCCCTCATTATCATTTAAATAGAACCCTCACTCCCTGTGAACATGGAAAATTTGAATGTGGTAGTAGAGCTGTGATAATTTGAAATATTCGGAAGGTGGGGGCAAGGAGGGGGAGCAGGCGGCAGAGTGCAGAATTGCTGAATGTAATTGTCATGGATTCTCAATTTTGTTGCCACAAGATGGGAAAATAGACTAATAATTGTCTTCCAACCCTAGTAGAATAGTTGCCCTAGTTAGCTGAAGCTAACACTCTAATTGTCATGGGGGCACAGAGATGAATGAGGATGTATGCAGGGCACAGCCAGGGCTAAATTGAGTGATATACTAAGGCAAAGAGCAAATTGGCAATTATTGGCCCAGCTGAAAAGGTTGGCAGGTGTGCTGCTTTCTCACGAGCCCTTAGGGGGAAATTGGAAATATAAAATATCGACCATAAATACTCACTGATTAGGAAATATGTTGCAAGAGGTGCTGGCCACTTAAGAGTCAAAACTCTCCTTTTCAAGGAATTGACTTCAGCTGTGTGAAAAACCAGCCAGCGCTGCTACTAGGTTGTTCAGCTCTTTTTCCTCTCATCTCCCATCCCCCAGGCTATCTTTTCTAATTTTCCATCACCCTATTCCTGTTTGTTTGTTTTTCTTTAAATGTAATAAACAGAAAGCAGCCTTTTAGGAAATGCAGAGATTTTCCCATCTCTAAATGTTCTTTGATAAGTGTTTAGCATATTGTATAGACTAGATATAAAATTCTCTCTCTGGCAGATGAATGCAAAATAACTCCTGTGAATGCAAAATAACTCCTGTGATTTCTTATTCAAACAGTTCGCTGTGTTCTGCTCTTCTTTGTGTGCCATCACAGTCACTGTCTCCCCCTTCCCTGCTATTTACCACACTTTCCCTCCTGGGGCAAGGAGACTAAAGCAGCAGCTGGATGCAAGACTGCAGGTCCATGACGTGTGCCTAAGGCTGAAGTCCCTTTCCAGGAGCGTGATCAAATGAGCCTTTGAAGTGAGAGTAGGACCACAGTCGCGCCACTGCTCCTTTTTTATCCAGTTTACAATCTTTGGCACATGTGGGCGCCTGATCTCTGCTCTGGGTTTTAGGTGACAGTGGAAGAGAATAGCTTGGCATGTTTAAGGTCAGGAAAACCTCGATGCGGTAGCAAGTGATGTTGCTGAGTAAGAGTGGTGCATTGAAGGAGTTTTTGGAAAGCCTGTGATAGCTGTGTGGACTGTGAACACTCAGGGCACATGCTGTCCTTCGTTTGCCAGGTGTAACACGCTAAAATCTAATCCCCAGTTAGACTTCTGGATGCTGCTGTGATAGAAATAATGTTTTTACAAATAGCCAGGAGAACTGTAAATCAGCTCTGAGGTACGC